TCTTTGAACTGACGGGCCTAACCTCTGAGTCAATGTCATAGTCGCACATCTCTCCTTCGGACAATATATGATAAAGTCATCTAGATAATCAAAACTATAACAACCCCTGAATACCTATTGCCGTAGGTGAGATAGCTGAAATGTGACTTCACCCTCAAAGAACCTCCAAAACTAGTAGCTGATATGGTAGTCAACGTTCTCATGCGCTGATTATATCAACCTCTACCTATGCTTGCACTATGGGCAGACCTACCAGACTGGCCTATTGGGGCCCTTCAAGACCTCTGAGAATTTTTCACCCTCTTAGGTTACTGGACAGGTCCTGATGACCCTGTCACTCCTCTGTCCTGATCAGAAGTAGCATCTTCCTCAGTTACTCTCCTCTCCAAAACCCTCCTTATAGCTTTTGTCTACCAGACTAACTCAACAAATACTCTCGGCGGAGCGACAGCTAGGTCGGTCATAATATCTAGATGGAGGCCCACTCTGAAGCTCCTACATTGATGTTATTCTGATGAAATCAACTCTGGTTCATACTGACTCAGACGAAGAGACTTCATATTATACTCAAACATTGTATGGTCCCTCTGAGTCAACTATGTAAATTGATCCCTTAAAGTGTTTATATGAGCCTCCCCTATATATTTCTGACGGAACTCCTCCAAGAATTGCTCCCAAGTGGGTCGCTCAGGCTCCATAGACATCTCGACCTTCCCCTACTAGTTTATAGCGTCACATTTCAACAGGCAGGTGGTGTATTCCAGCATATGCTCAGGGGTGAGGTTTAGCTGTCTAAGAGTCTCTCTCAACCATTGATTAGTCGTTATGTGGTTGTCGTCTCTTGTGCTAAAGAAACTTGTGGTCTGGTACCTCTAGAGCCTCTCAACTGGGGACTCCTGTGATGTTATGGCATATAGGGCTGATTGAACTAGCTGGGGAGGTAAGGTAGTGGGTGTTCGAGGTAAGGCCCTAGCTATACGCCTTAGGGTATCGATTAAATCACTAAAAAAATGTTGCCTTCTCGACCCCTGCCTCCCTAGGCTCCTCAAAATCTATCTCAGGGACAAAATCATCACCTATATTACCCGTAAGGGAAGCTCTACTCTCATATCTACCCTCTTGACTATGACTTAGGCTCTTATCCATGTTTCAATTTCTAAAAGAAGTACTATTAATATCCCTAGATGTATGTATATTCATAAACTTTTACTAACTCTGACCCGCGAGTCCTAGGAATGTCTAAATCTAATGCTCTGATACCACTAAATGTAACATCGTACACCAGTATGACACATAATCGATCAATAAGAGTGTCTCACGAAACCACCAGAGTGGCTAACCAAACATTTTCTCAACTGAAAACATTCATTTAAAATTTCTTATGATTAAATAAACTATGATATTTATATAAATAAGTTTACATCAGGATTTCCCTAAATATCAATTCCAAATATACATACCATCAATTTAAAACAAGTTTCAACTCAATTATTTAAAACAGGGTTACAATATACAAAACAAGGATTTCAGAATATACATGCCCTCTAAAGAACTCGAGACATACTCTGGTCTGAATCTAGTCTGGATCATTGCTGGTCAGAATGCTCCTCTACTGTTCCTCACTTAATCTGCGTAAAGAAACAAATTCTAAACGCTAAGCTAACTAGCTTAGTGTCAACTAACAACTAATACATACTAAAAGGGGATCATTAACATGCTCAAGCCAACTGATAAAATAATATAGTGAGTATACTCCTATACTCACTCTCTACTCTATGGTCGACACCATGGTACGACTGAGGGATTTTGCATCTCGAGCCTCACATACCCTTTTAGTCTACTGAGGATGAGGCCCAAAATCTCTACATTGGACACAACACCCTCGACTAGCCTACCCCTTGCGATTGTTGGACCTTGCGCCTTAGCTAGTCATTTTAAAGTGCCTTGTGCACTTCCCAAGGATATATGGACTGAATATATACATTTTCACCCTTAACATTACTAAAGGAACTCAGGTTTCTGATTCGTTTCTCGAGTATCAAACAAGGCTAGTTTTATGTCACCCCGATTTATTTTGTTTCTATGAATAATTAAACATTATTATTATTCCACTTATAGTTTTATTTAAGAGTAATTAGAGCTTTTTGGGAAACCTCACTCGCCTCTACAATTTTTCTTATTTTAAATCCTAAAACATACGCTTGGTATCGATATTAGCCTTACAGTATTGGTACCCCTTTTTATGTATCGATACTCTACCCGAAGTATTGATACCTAAGTACAAAATTCTCTTAAATAAAAAGGAGAAATATCGATATTCATATGGGAGTATCGATACATGGACCTTGGGTATCAATACTCCCTAGAGTACCGAAACCAAAATGGCATTCTAGAATATGGGTCTCGATACAAAGCACCCTGTTCTCAATATTGAACCCTCAGTAGCGATACTCTTTCAAGGGTATGGATACTACCCTGACAAACATTAGAACTTTAAGCATGAAACAAGAACAATATCTGTATTGATCCCTCCAGTACCGATACCTTTACCCATAATGCCCAATTTGGGCACTTAAAATCACTCACCTTGCTACCTTAATATTCCCCAAATGTTCTTAGTGTTTTATAAAATCAAAAGGGACATAAACAAGGCTTTAAATCATGCTATAACTTCAAAGTATAAAATCCACCATGGAAATTATTCATCATGCTTCAACTAACATCCTAAACAATTTATATATCTCTAATAACCCACAAACGGTATGAGAGGGTTGTAAGTGTGATTACTTTATCTCTTTGACTGCTAGAAACCTCTCCAACTCAACCAATTGCTAATTTTTCTTCACATTTGGCTTTTGAACTCTCTCCCACGTCCTTCACTAAACAAGGGTAAGGAAAAGGGTTATTATCTCAACTAACTTCTTGGACTGGGATTTAAAACTCCTTTATAACTTGAATCTTACTAAAAATGGCTAGAATCCAAATATTCTCATAAACCCCTCAAAAATCCATTTTTTGTTTGAAAACTAAAAACTTAAGAAATAGAGCTTGAATTAAAGCCAGAATGATAAAGATTAACACTCTTACCTTGGTTTAACCAAACTAGAATGAAAATGCTTGAAAACTTTACTTTGGAAAAGAAAAGTAAAAGAAGAAGAGTTTTTGGTAAGAGTTTTAGGGGGTGAGTTTATTGAAATCATAATATAAGGGAGGGGTTTTCATCTTTCAAAACCTCAAGGGGAAATTTACACTTTTGGTCCCTTTGACCCCAAAATCACCATTAACCCTTGGGCCCAACTCAAGCCCACTCTTAAATTAGCTAAATCCAACCATTATATTGGGTCCCTTGGTTCGGTTTAAGGGTTTTAGGTTGACCGAAACTGCTTATTTGGGTTTTGGGGTGTTACATTAATATTAAATTATAAATAGCTAATTAGATGAAAACTTATAAAAAAATATTTTAATTATTACACTATCTAAGTTTAAAAAATACATTTAACATATAGTGATTAATATAATCAGTATATCAAACTTATAATTTTAAATAATTTTTATAAGTATCATATTTATTTATACAAAATATGATCAAATATGAAAAATAATATTGTGATCTCGAGTGGATAAATATATTAAATTTTAATGTATAAGATCTATTTTTAAATAAATCAAAATTTAAGATTATTTTAAATAATTATATTTTTATAATAACAATAATATTTTCACCTCATAAAATTATAAAATAATTAATATATTAAAAATATAAAATAATATTAACTACTTAATTTTTTAATATTTTTATTAAATCAAAATATTCATATATTATTATTAAGTTTATAATTTTGAGTAAAGGATGAAGATTAAGAATTGGAAAGGATTTATATGAAAATAATATTATTTCTGGGGTATTTATGTCTAAAGTGGTAGAAATTGTTCATTACCTAAGAATTTGGGGGTAATGACGTTCCTATCATTTTAACCCAAAAATGTTACTATTGGCAATAAATTATTACCTGATAATGATCTTTTTCGTAAACCAAACATGGGAATACAATTCCAGAAAAAAATCATTCACTTTGGTAATGATTTTTCCATGAACCAAATGCCCCCTTAGCGGCAGTTAACCCATCATGACAACATATTAATTAAATAAAACCGAAAGTGACTATATATTGTTTAAATAAAAAAGAAGGTGACTATATCTCATGTACTTTGAAATCAATGACTAAAAGTGGACAAAACACAAACATAAGTGATCATCCGTGTAGTTAATCCTTCTTTTTTTCCTCTAGTTTTTGGTAATAGACAAAGGCAAGGAATAGTTCTAGATCTCTACAGCAGTGCAACTATAACTGATCATCTAATTGTTGTATCCTGGAAGATAGACGAGCAACAATCTCAAACACCATAGGAGTGGCCAAAAATTTATCTTAAGTAAATTGTATAGCTATAGGCTACAACTTGTTCCTAATTTGTTATTTTGTCAGCAATTGGGTTTTTTATTCTAAACTACTCCCTTCAATTATTAATAAAATATTATTATTTTCGTCTAGAATTATTAAATTTTCTAACATGTAGTACAATAATCTTATGAATAATTCTAATCCAAACCGATTTCAATTATACTTGTACTCTTAAAGAAAAATGAGTAATGAGTGATATAATCTGTCAATTTACTAAACAGGAAATTTGATCACAGTAAACCCTATACACAGTTTTTCGAAAGAATAATATTTTTATATTAGTGAGACCACTTAACGAGTTTAAACACAACATATTAAATGAGAAATAAAAACAAAAGTGAAAGGAAAATCCCATTCTTTGTACCACAAGATTGATGAGTAAGTTAAATCAAACCTGCAAAGCCTGGCATCAATATAAATAATTAATCAATCCAAGGATCCAACATATAAAATCTTTAGCTGACGAAACCAACTTCCAAATCAAATGCTATTGCTGAACTTCAGCTTTTGGGACCCTTAATTCTAAAACTGTCATGCTAGAAGATTTAACAAAATAAAATGTTGTCAGCCAAAAGAATATGTTCCTAATCAATACTTGAATTAGTTAATTGGAAAGCAAATCAAAAGCTTGAAGAAATCAGATATGTATACATAACTTCAATCCACCCCTTCCTTTTTATGTGTCATTCCATGTGAAAGTTGGGGTTCCATGGCAGACCACCATGTTGCTTGATCTTTGTGCAATGGTGGGAACTGCAGTCGGCACCCAGTCGTTGCATGCCGAGGCAGTCAGGCCACTCGTCATCGATGATTGCTGCGAAGCATAGTACATGTTCCTCGAATGATAATCCGTATCAGACGATGCGTACATGTTTTCGTAACCAACAGCTTTCACTTCATTGTCAACTCCTAATCCATTGGTTTGATTTTGGTTACTGTCACTGCCACTGGCTACAACTGTGCCCATGGGGATCACATATCCTCCTCCGTACTCAAATCCTTGAAAACTACAGTTAGCACTTTCATCGCCAGTACCACCATTTCCGTATATGACCGAGTTAGAGTTCGAACCGGAGCTATGTTCCATGGAAGAAGAGTCCATTGCCATTAGATTGTGCAAAACAGAAGGCTGAAAAAAGTTGTGGTGTGTGCTCCCTAGGTGTAGTTGATGAAGATCCTGGAAGGTGTGATTGGCATTGGACTCAAGCTCTTGCTTGCACCAAACTCGTTGTCCGTAAGGGTAGTGCATGCCGAAAGGCTGAGCTTGTTGAAATGCAATGGCAGGCCAACCATGGTGCGATGGCGCCGCGCCGTAATTATTGATTCCATCCGACAAGTGAGTAGTAACCATCATGTTATCCGCACCATTATTGGTCCTCTGTAAACCTAAAGCCATTTCGGCATGCTCAACGTCTTTCAATCGCTTTGCATTTCCACCGATCGGCAATGTGCTGCTTTCGAGTATGCTCTTGACATCATATCGACTCATATCAAAGTTGGTTACAGCGTTCAATCCCCGGAATTTTATGGCAGCAATGTCATAGGCTTCTGCTGCCTCTTCTTGCGTACCTACATTAAGTACAAGTAAATTTTCATTTTATGAGATAACGTTTAGTAAGTTCGGATTCGAATTTCGATTTACGACACTCACCGAAAGTTCCCAAGTAAAGGTCTTTGTTTCCGGCAACTCTTCCGATCCTTGCTTGCCATCTTCCATGTTGGTGGTGCCTATTTACAACTCTAAATTATTTTAACAATCTTGGTTTGGTTAAACCATGAAAAGGAATACGAAAAAACTACTGATATTACCTTGTGACTCCTCTATAGATTGATGCTCCCCGAGAAAATCCACTACTCTTCCTGAAAAAAGGAACATATAAATAAAACATTCCTGCAAATATAATTCGAGCCAATAAACGAATTGCATATATATAAAGATACAATACCTTCTAAGGGATGCAACAGATTCTTGCCTGGTCATGTGTTTCATTTCTTCCAACTCTTTCTCATAGTTGCTAAACTGTCATTCAAAGGGAGGAAAGAGAAGATTATAAGAGTGTTAACAAACAAAAACCCAGAAATTTAGGCAACATTCAATGCAAAAATCTAACACAATCTCCTGCTTTATATTACGTGACAAAGTTCCTGTTAGTAGGGAATAGGGATGAACTTTAGAAGCACAAAATAAAAAGAAAAATTGCATGTCGATAGCAGTAAGAACACGAGGCAGATTTACAGGCTCAATTTAATGCAATTAATGCATTAAAAAATAAGTTTGGGGAACAAAATGAAGTGGAAACTTACAGGAAAATTTGTTGTTGTTGTGGTTCCCCAGTACTTCAGTGCTGCTAAATCATAAGCTCTAGCTGCCTTTTCTTCTTTGTCATACCCTCCTGTATGTATTATAGGCCAAGTTTTTTAAAAAAATGAGGTAATAATGAAACTTCAACAAACTAGAAGATAACCCCAAGAGAGCATTTATCGTATCGCACTTACCCAAATATACTGCAAGTATTTCGAGGAAGCCCGACAGAAATCATATGAAATTGCAGAAAATGGAATCAAGAGTCAGTAAATATAATGAAATACAAAATGGAATGAAATTCCAGTAGCCTGGAAAACAATATACCTTGCCTTCCTCTCCTTGTTTGTCCTTCTCTTCTACAACTGTTATCCCACAAATGAGCTTCATATCTACCAGTCCACCTATGCCTGTAAAAACCAGAAGCAAATCTTATATATGTATTGTATAGGGAAAAGAAAGAGATTTTTTTAAAAGCTTTGATGCATATAAAATAATAACCTTGTTACACCACGGTATATGGAAGTTCTTTGGCCAAAAGTGTCAATAGACTTCCTTGGCGCCACTTCACTTGCACCGTTTGGGGCAATATCCATACATATCGGTGTCTTTTGCTCCTGCTTGTTGTTATCGGAGGAAGAGCTCTCTCCACAGCTTCCGCCGCCGGTGCTTGTTGTGGCGAGTAGAGACAAAGGGGAGACCGTTTGTGAGCCGGTGCTCATGGAAAGAGACAATGATTGGGAAGCGCCGCCGTTGTTTTTGGCCTCCGCTTGTGCCGGTTGGTTCCTTAACCAAGTTTTGATCATGGATAAACCGATGGAGCTACTTCCGCCATTATTACCGGCGTTACTGTCGTCTTCTCCGTTGGTTGTTCTTGCATTTGTTGTTGTGTCTTGTGACGGGAAAATGTATTCGCCGGTGGCGGTGGTGGTGTACAAAGCGTTGCAACCATGGAGAAAGTTTTGTTGATGACCGGAGAAAGAGTTGTTTCCGAGGAAGTTTTCGAGCTTTGGTTCTTGGTTTTTGGCTATTGCATGAACTACTACCCATGAACATTGAAAGCTCTGAGCTCGTCTTGTAGTTTCCATCTGAGTTCATACCTAAACCCTTCATATTCCAATCTGCGCCAACAACCAAAATCATTTTTTTAAGAACAGAAATGAATATTTAGGGTTTTGATTGTTATAATATTAAGTATTAACCAAAACAAACCTTGGGGTTGATTGTTTCTATTGAAGGTTTCAAATATGCCAAATGGTGGAGGGAGATTGAGAGAAGGAGCCGAGGTGAGATCGAAACACTCGCCACCGGAGTCATCGGACTGGTTGATTTCGTCGCAGTTGAAACCGAGGCGAGGCACGGTGGTTTGGTGGTCATGATGATCGACGGATTGTGATGGGAGTTCTTGAGATGACAAAGAAAACGCCAACCAGTTGTTCATGGAAGCCATTAACACTGAACCGAAAAGCTTGAAGGGTTTAGTGTTGTTTTAGATGCAATGGCAGCGGTGAAAGCGAAGGGAGATGTGCAAATCAACTCATGCATGAAAGTAGAAGAGGCAAAAGTGCGGAAGAAAAAGAGAGAAGAGAAAAGGTCAAAAACATTGAAGAGAAATTCATCTTCTCCCAAAGCAAAAACTGGAATATATAGTGAAATATTTCTCTCTCATGAAACAATAATATTTAATGCATAATTAAGGTATTATCAATGTTATATGACATTGAAGGGTCTAATTATTCATATAAATTCAAAATCTTATATGAAAATAACGAGACATCCTTAAAAGGACTATTGCATACCAACATTATATATATTTCTAGGAAAAGGAAAGAGTGGTGATAGGAAGAGGTTTATCTTAAGAACAACAGGCACGTAAGTTGAACTTATCTTCTGAGAATGATATAAAGTTAAAAGTTGAGTTTATCTTAAGATCAAAATATTGAATCATTTCAGTGATAAACGGAAGTATTATTTACTATAAAGACTTTAAATTTAAACAATACACATCTATTTTCAATAGATTATGAACAATGTAATCTTATAATCATCAACACTAATAATAAAATTCCTGTTTTCATAACCCATGGTGAACCTCAAATTAAGTTCAAAATGGAGATTAGTTAGACCTTCATGATTAGAATATGACAAACCTGTGTCTAGAAGGAGATGAATAAATCCAATACTTTGTTATACATATATACATGTGTTTACGTTCAGATATTTACATTATATATACAATATAGTGTATATTGAAAGAATATTTTGTTTTGTTCCTCTTTTATTTGCTGTGAAACACCTGTTGCAGAAGATGATATATAAATATATGTCTGACAAAGTGGAAGAAAACACCCAGACGCAGCCCCTCTCCACACCCATTTATTCAACCCCATTTGTACACACCTAATATCATTGTCAATGAAATCTGCCCACCACCAACCCCTTTTCATCAATATTGCTCTCTCTCTCGGTTAGGAATCTTATAGATATAAATATTTATTCGAGTTTTTGTAACGATTTCGATTAAATTTAGAGTCGAATAAAAATGATGTATGGAGTTTATGTTTGATTGATGAGCAGATAGCAGGAGAGTGCAGAGCGGCTATCAGAGTGTGCCAACGAGACCCCATAACGTTTTCACATTCCATCCATGCTATTAAATTACTCTACTATTATTATCCCTCAGCACCCAATCATCACCCTCAAACTGCTCCCCCGCTAAAAACGGGGCTCTCTCTCTCGCTCTCTGTCTCTGAACTTCACGTAACAATAATTCATTCATGTCTGACATTTTTTTCCTGGAAAAGAAAAAGAAAATATTACAAATGCAAACTGAAAATAAAAGGAGAGAAGAGGAGAATCTTGTGTTTATTCTTTTTAAAAAACAATAAATGGACAAGGGTTTGCACTTTGCACCCTTATCACAGGACACTAACCCTCGTCTTCCGGGTCTTATTTTGAGTTCCATTTCATTCTCGAGATTTTTACTTCTTCTTTCAGTTTTCAGGGACAGATTGGATGAAAATGTAATGTTTCAAGGATCTAAATGGAAACCCTCTCACTATTTTCAATGCCCTTGTTGTCAACTATACCTTAACTTCAAGGCTTTCTTTTTCTGCAACATTGTTATTTATGTACACATCATGCATGCATGCCAACCTAATTGCACATACGATGATAATTGTGAAATAATTCACACGTACTACTAGTATGTTATGAGCGTATAAATACGGGGTAAATGAGAATGATGATTGGGGTGGAGACAAGGATAATAAATAACTAGATAAAGTGTTGCAGAGAGAGATCTCGAATGGTGTAAAAATGAGCAACGGTGTAAGTTTGACCGTCAAGAAAGGAGTCAAAGAGGGTAAAACACATGGAGCTCATCGGGTATTAAATTAATGGGAAAAGCCTGCTAATTGCTCCACTGTAAAAATAAATGCTCTCGGTAATCTACTCCTTTTAATCATTCATGTTCCCCCACCACAAGTACCCTTTTCTTTGAGCCCTCTGCTTAGACTCTGAATTACCACTTACCCTTGTACAGGGTATGTCACTTTTGACCTACCTACCTTCTCCATCCTCTTTAGGGTTTGCCTAATATAATCCTTATCTTTTTTGCCAATAAAAACTACCAAAGTTGACACATGCGATATAGATGTGCATATGCACGCTGCACTTACAATTTAGATTTTGGGGTATAGTCATCTAGATAAAATTTAAATACATATACCAGCACATAGATAAGTATTTTTATTTTTTATATTTTATGATCTATATTTAAGATTAAAATTTTCCATTTAATAATGTTATCTTAAAATTTTAAATTTATTTTTTTAAGAGTACACCATATTTTACAAGCTTAAAATGAGTTTAAAAGTACAATACCATATTTTATCACTATAATTTTTTAAGACCACCAATACCGTTGGCGTAACTAGGGTTGCTTATGTATTAAAAAAAACTTGGGGCTTATCGAGTAAGTCAATCGCGAGTTGGAATTGCTCTTTAAAAAATTTGGTTGCTTGACTCGTTACTCGTTAAGCTCATTTAAATTTTGCTCGACTCGTGCTCACTAAAAAAACTTGTTGCTAGGCTTGTGCTTGTTAAGCTCTTTACTCGTCTCGTTGCTCATCTCATTGCTCGTTAAGCTCACCAATTTTTTTTTATCTTACTCTATAACTATAGGTGAAATCTACTAATACTATATAGAGAGAGAGCTTAATATAAACATAGATTGATAAATTTAACAAAAAATTATCAAAAGAGTGTATGAAACAAATTTAAACTCCAAAATAGCAATCCACAAATATATTAAAATAATAATAATTAGGGTTTAATTTTTAGGTGTAGTAAAATTAATAGATTAGTTATTTATCATCTATTAGTAGATTAATAATTTTTTAATAAAATAAATTTTTAAGCTAACTAGTAAAAAAGTATAAAAGATTAATTAGTTGCTCGCGAACTTATCCAGTCGAGTTGTACTTTGCTTGACTCAACTTGTTAAGGTCTTAAGTTGAGCTCGAATTCGAGTCGAGTCAATCCTGATCGAGCTTTTACAGAATTTTGAACGAGTCGAGTTCGACTTGCTCAACTCATTAAGCACCCCTAGGCATAACTCCATAAGCTTGTAATAATCGAATAATATTTTCTTCTCTCAAAAATGTGTATCGCGGTCACCCATCTTTCATGGATTAAATAAAGGCTTAAATATAAAACAATTGTCTAAATTATAGCGCCTTTCACGAATAGGTGTTTAAAGTATTTTTTTACTCATCCCGATATCTAAAGTTACAAATGTTACTATTTTAGGTGTTCAGACCGCCAATGATAATTTTTCCATTAAGTGACAAGTGTTACAATCTGATAATTTTAAAAAATTTATTTAAAATTGAAAAATTAAAATTATATATTTAAAAAAACATAAAAATTTTGAAATAACCCCTAAACTTTGAAAACTATCACTTCAACCCCTAAACTCACACTGATTGTCGACAAAACTCCACCGACCTCACCTACGTCAAACCCCTATTATCGAGACATTTCTCTGCCTTGGCGACGGAGAGTGCAAATAGTACATCCCAAACGGTGTAACTAGTCTCGAAAAAGTAAGTGTTTATCTTCCGTGAATCAGATGAAACATCAAATTGTAGAGTCGCCACTAATCTTTTAATTCGGTGAGATTGGTCACCAAAAATGTCATATTATTTTAATAAAAATTCCTAAGAATAATATTAAAATAATACAACTCGGGTCTTCTTACCAGAAAAATGAGTTCGAGAGTCGGTTACGTATGAGAAAGAATTAGCATTCCCATAATGCCCAAAATTGGTACCGATATTTATTAATTAAATGTCTTTGCAGTAAATTATAAACTTGTATTTAAAATTTTATATAAATACTAAATATTTAATATAAATATTATTAACACTATTATAATATTTAATATTAAAACTATATTATAAAATTATCCTAATATATACAAGTATATTAATACTATAATTAATATTATAATTAATAATTAATGACTAAAATATAAAATAGTAATATTAATTAACCTATTTCAAAATGATATTGAAGCTATATTTTAACCTAAATTAATTCGGGACTAAAATATACATTTTTAATACTTAAGGGACTAAAAGCATACTTTTACCTATAACATATATATTAATATAATAAGGACTAAAATAAAAATAATTAAAATGCAAAACCAAAATTGAAATATACGAAAAACTTGATTTCGGGACCAAAATGAAAGATTTACAAAGCTGGAAGGACCACGCACAGAATTTAGCCATTCTCTAATTACACTGAAGCCCCTCCCCTAAATGACATAGTTTTGGGGAGGGTATAAATATACCCCAACCGACCCTTTAAGGGCAAACTCTCTAATTTCTCTAATTTCTTCTCTCTCTAGATGAAAGATGCTCTGGCTTCTCTCTAAAAACCCTCGTCGGAGGATAGCCGGTCACCGGTCGGCCGCCATGTTCCTCCGATCTACGCCGCCGCCGACCACCACTTACCACCCACGGTGGCCAGAATACACCAAACTTTACCCAAATCGTAAATCAAAATACCCTCTATCCGAAATCACCATTCTTTCTTCCTAAAACATGACCAAACGTAATAGATCTAGGTTTTTAACCTTTGGTGAAATGAGGTTTCGACGACGTTTGGACTTCGACAAGGGTAAGTTTCCTCACTCACTTCTCTCAGCTTTTGTTACTACTGTAGATCGTTGTGGTAGCCTTCTGTTATACCCTCTATCCGAAATCACCATTCTTTCTTCCTAAAACATGACCAAACGTAATAGATCTAGGTTTTTAACCTTTGGTGAAATGAGGTTTTCGACGACGTTTGGACTTCGACAAGGGTAAGTTTCCTCACTCACTTCTCTCAGCTTTTTGTTACTACTGTAGATCGTTGTGGTAGCCTTCTGTTTGCTCTCTGTCTCTTGTGTGTCTCTCTCGTTGTGTGTTTCTCTCTTGCAGGATCAACCTTATATAGGCCTCACTGACCAACTATAATGATGGCTTTTTCGATGAGTCACCGGACCTACGGTGGTGACTCACCCTAG